CATCTGGTCGGATATGTACATTGAAACGACGTACATGCGCTATGGAAAGGGACCTTCTGGCATCATCGGATCCACTTTGAACGAGTCTACCCTTGCTATCTGGGCTTTGTCTCTCAGCCTCTTTGGACAACTGAAGAATGACTTGGAATCCATGCAAGAAGGGGAAGATCAGAAAGTTGTCACTTGTCACAAAGAAGAGAGCCTCAAAAGAATCAAATCAGATGCGGCTGACAGAAAGGGAATTCGAGAGGCGCTATCGACATGTATAGATGTATTTGACAGTGAGAAGCATCCTCCTTCAAGCCTGGTGAACATCTACACTGGACAGGTTGTGGATGATCCAGCAGTAAATGCCGATGATGCAATCAAGATTGGAACTGATCAGATGAACGAATACGAAAGAAAGTTGCCGAAGGGGTTCCATGACACAATAAAGAGGAGAGTCAAAGGAATGGCAAAGGCTTCTGATATGTCATCAAGAGGTGAGGTATCTATAGTTACCAATACAGAGATGATCTACGCCCGGGTAATCGGGATCATGGCATCATCAAGGGAAGCGATTTCAACCAAAACCTTATTCTCCTATGAATTGGCTCCCTATCCACCCGCACTGTTCGACAAGAATGGTGATGCACGTTCCACAAGTAAGTCCGTCTTGAAGTCAAGGATCAAGGTTGAGTGTAGTCAACGAAGTGCAGAGGTGCCAGATGTTATCATTCTTGATGGATGTGCTCTTCTTTGGACCGTTCCTTGGCCTGCGTCTCCAGCAAAGGTGTGTACCTTTGTAGATGTTGCTGTAGCAACGTTCATGAAATATGCAGACAGTTGTCCAGTTCTTCATGTGGTTTTCGACAGATACTACGAGAGCAGCATCAAGTCCTGTTGCCGAACAGCACGTGCAAAAGGTTGCAGCCGTGTATACAAGCTGAACAGTGAGTCACCACTGCCAAAGCAGAACGTCATCCTAAATGTAACTGCAAACAAGCAACAAGTCATCAAGATGATCGTAGATCAGTTGTGTTCCATGCAAGTACCAGAGGGCAAACGATTGATCGTAACTGGACCTGATCCGCATCCAATTGCTGTTGGTGTTGGTGCACTTGAAGAAGAGGTGAAACACGAAGAGGCAGATGTAATAATGGTCTACCACATGATAAAGGAGGCCAAGGATGGTCATTCACCTATCAAAGTTGTGTGCGATGACACAGATGTTCTGGTCATTCTTGCACACCATCTACATTTCCTAACCAATGGTATACCACACACAACAAAGGTGGTAATGGAATCAACGTCTCGCACTCGAAAAGTCATAGATGTCAATGAGGTCATCAAGAAACACACGAAGATCATGCCCAATCTACTTGGAGCCCATGCATTGACTGGATGCGATACTGTTTCCTGTTTCTATGGAGTAGGAAAGGCGTCTGCACTCAAGAATTTGGAGTCCTATCCTGATTCTCTACTCCTTGGTAATATTGAAACGCCTCTCGATGAAGTAATAGAATCCTGCTTGAGATACGTGGCATCCCTGTACCGAGAAGAACCAAATGACTCTCTAGACACAATGCGAAGAAACATTTTCACAAGGAAGGCTGGTGGCAAGCGCCTAGTACCTCCCAAATTAATGAGTCTTCCACCAACTATGGCAGCTTTTCGGCCACATTGCCAGCGTGCCCATTATCAAGTAGCCTTGTGGGTGGCTGCTGGCAAGCCAGTACCCCCAGCCCTAGACCCATTGAAGAATGGATGGAGGATGAAGTCTTCTATGATTCAACCAGTCTATCTCGAAAATGATCAGCCAGTCGCACCGGAAGAAGTCCTCAATATCATTAAGTGTGGGTGTAAGAGCGACTGCAGAACAGCCCAGTGCAGCTGCACCAAATCGTCGTTGGCATGCTCGGAATTCTGCCGCTGTAAGGGCGATGTCCGCTGCCAAAATCCAATGAACAAGACATCAGAAGAGAGTAACAGTGACAGTGACATTAGCAGTTGTGAAGACTAATAATATTTGACATCGTTCGGCACTGCTACTATATATGGAGGTAAGACTAGAAAGACTTCAATATTATTATGGTAAATGATTGTCTATAATGGACAAAGATATGGTTTACAATGAATATCTATATCATCTATATGCTCATTTATTCATTATTTTATTTATACGTGTATATAACTTTCCCATTACACAAAGTAAACTTTGTTGTTTTCTAGCTAGCCTGCTGGGTTCACTATACCGGTATCGACTACAAAAATAATAATCGTATTTTGCGTAAAATGCTCAAGGTTTCGCGTCTGGCACTCATCGGTTTCGGATTCAGCACCCTCGAATTGACAAGAAAACATCAAATAACCTTTTAAATAGACATAGAGTAAGCGTTTTCATGATTTTGGCGGCCATTTTGGCGGCCATTTTGGCGGCCATTTTGAATTTTTCGCGTTTTACGAAAAATGCTCAAGGTTTCGCGTCTGGCACTCATCGGATTCAGATTCAGCACCCTCGAATTGACAAGAAAACATCAAATAACCTTTTAAATGGACATAGAATAAGCGTTTTCATGATTTTGGCAGCCATTTTGGCGGCCATTTTGGCGGCCATTTTGAATTTTTCGCGTTTTACGAAAAATGCTCAAGGTTTCGCGTCTGGCACTCATCGGATTCGGATTCAGCACCCTCAAATTGACAAGAAAACATCAAATAATCTTTTAAATGGCCATATAATAAGCTTTTTTATGATTTGGCGGCCATTTTGGCGGCCATTTTGAATTTTTCGCATTTTACGAGAAATGCTCAAGGTTTCGCGTCTGGCACTCATCGGATTCGGATTCAGCACCCTCGATTTGACAAGAAAACATCAAATAACCTTTTAAATGGCCATATAATGAGCGTTTTCATGATTTGGCGGCCATTTTGGCGGCCATTTTGAATTTTCGCGTTTTACGAAAAATGCTCAAGGTTTCGCGTCTGGCACTCATCGGATTTGGAATCAGCACCCTCGAATTGATAAGAAACCATCAAAAAACATTGTATATATAAAAAAACAAGGTTCCTTGCTCTCTAGCCTGGACTATTAGCCACAGGCCTGTATTCTACTAAAATTTAAAGGGATACTGAACTTATAAACTTTCTGAAGTAGCAAACTGTTTATTGCACAGTGCCAGAGTCATGGTCAACTTGTAAACAGTGCATAACCTAATATGTTATCCCCATTTCCCATACAGGACTCAATGCAATAACCAACAAACTGCTACAGCTGTTTTAAGATGGCTCTTGAGTGGAATTTGCAGTAGTGCTTCTAGTACAGCATCGCTTTAAGCTTTTGTTCAAAATCTGGTTTAACAAAGCTGGAATTTAGTATGAGGTCTAAATTTTCTTTTGTTAAACATAATATTAGTAGAATACAGATCATAGGGTTTGGGTATAAATGGGAAACAGTGATTAAATGATTACATTTTAGTCACCTAAAGAAGTTAATTTGCTATGTAGGGTAAACATGCAGCTAAAAATGTAAAACCACACGATTACATGCTCTACTAACATCTAATTTCAAGATTTCAACCGAATAAAAATAGCCTTTTTTAATAAAAATAAGAATGAAAATTAATAAATTACACAAAGTCTTTATGGAAATCCATTGGGATAGCTTTTTATCTTCTTGTTTAATTTGTGGTATAGTCTCCTTTAACATTTCGTATGACACATAAAAGAGGTTAATGTATTCTGATATTTCAAATTTTTATTATGGTTTCAAGAGTTTTAATGTGAAAAGATATTATTAATGACTGATACAAAGGCCTGCTTGCTTTTGAGCCGTTAAACAACTCAACAATTCTAAGCATTTTTTAGTATCATGATAAAAAGACAATTGTAGATCATATTTATACCATTTGGCAAGGCTGAACAAGGACGATCTGATGCATATGGGCTAGTAAATTCAACTCGAGACCCCCCCCCCCCCCCAAAAAAAAAAAAAAAAAAAAAAAAAATGTTGTTGTTGTTGAATTTAAACAGGAGGCCCTTGCACAATAGCACAGAGATTTTATATTTCAATCTGGAGCCCCAGCTGTGAAAAAAATTAGTTAGTACGGACTCCTATATTTTATTAGAAAAACTATAATATCTGCATTCACATAATAAGTTACAATTTTACAAATTAATATATATGCAATAATTGGGTTTGGATTATTAGTTTGGGTTAGATGAATGTGCTATCTGATTTGGGAAAATATATCATTGTAGTAACTATTTTGGTAGGTCACTATTTACACCACTAAGACGTTAAAGGTTAATGAAATGTTTGTGTTACTTAAATAAAAATGACATACATACATACATGAAGTAAAAGTGCACTGAGCTATTAGGATAAGCCCTAGGGCCCTGTTTCACATAATTTGTTATCAATAAGACATGATAAATCTCTTTGACACATTTGCTCTAAGCTAATCAAATGCCACCATTTTTAGTAGCTTATAACAGTTATTGTAACTTATCATTGAAAACAAATGTTATGAAACAGGGCCCAGTTCTTAAATCTATATGTGATTTCAAAACATGATTAAATGTTGCAGCATATATAAACAATCCCAAGACGATATTTTCTGTTTGTTATCAATGAGTCATTCTAAAAATATGAGCTTCGGATATTATTTCTATAGAGTGATATTGTACGTTTAATTTGACTTTCAGTTAACATAAAAGCATTTTGTTAGTAGTCTAGTCAATGCAGGCCTAGAATATGGCTTGCATGAAACACAAGTCTTGGGCTTAGCGAGTCTGTCTTGGGTTCTGTTTAAAGTTATTCTTTATTTTCTTCATACTCTTTATTAGCCTCATATATTTTGTTAGGTTGATTGTATGCATTTTATCTGTACCCAAATTATTTTTCTAGGTGACTGGTACACTTAAACTGATGACCAATCCTAACTTTGTACTTCATTGAAGCACTTGCGATTGATTCAAATAAGGTCCTTGGTATGGGAACAAAAAAGAATTTAATACAATACCTCAGCTACAGTATGGGGGCGCATGTCAAACATCGGTGGAGGCGTGGCAGGGACCCGGAACTGTTCAACACCTGGGGCCGATACCGGTCTCGCCCTGACGTGGCCGGCCTTGGTGTTCTGGACGTGACCGGTAGATTTGTTGAGGGATCCCTTCAGCTCTCGGTAGCGACGGGAATGGTATCTCACCTGGGAAAAAGGAAGGAATCAACCGAGAGAGGTTAAACTTCATTCTCATCCAAAATTCATTCGGAACATTAGTCATGAAATCTGTGCAGAATGCTTCTAAATATGGCTCAGCTTGCATCAGAGAGCAGCTAAGAACCCCAGAGCTTTCAGGGACCTTAAGAGTTGGGGTTTTAATTTTTAGAAAAATACTGGACTTTGGTTTTGAATGCTTTACAGAGATTTGGATATACCGACGATTCCCAATTAAAGCACACGTAAAAAAAGGTTTCCAGTTTTAAAGTTACTACTTATGGTTTAAAATGAACATTCAATAGATTTTTGGAGATGCAATCTATCCAAAATTCCCACGGTAAGCATGATACAAAGGTTAAATGGTATTACGTTTATCATTTAGGTACTTATGGGTTTGAAAGCAGATCTATACCTGAGACTTCCGGAGACTTGGATCTACGGATGATTCCCGCGGTATGCGTTTGCTACCAAGGATCTCATGTCCATAGTTGCGCTCGGTTCCAATGAACTGCTTGTTGAGATGGTCTTCTAGCTTTTCATCCTTTGTGGAGAAAACTCGTTGGAGATCATCAAGCTGAAAAGACGAACAAAAAGACAAAGAGTGAGGACTACTATACAGAAACAAACAAATTGATTATTTAAAGCCAATCTGCACTAGTTTGGCCAGGAGGGATTAGACCTCCCTGCCTGGTCACTGGCAGATGGTTATCTCATCAAATCAGCTCTCACTTTACATAAGAAAAAGGGGATCATGGGGGACCAACGGGTACCGCTTAGGCATTGTGATAGAAGAAAATCCATAGGAAATGATTAATACATGAAAAGCCTTGTAAAGAAAGTCAATATCCTGTTAGGTCATGGTCAACTTCAAGTACAGGTACTAACATTAAGAAATGCAAGTGGAGGAGTTATAGTCGAGTGGTTAAGCACTTGACTTGAAATACAAAGGCTGTGGGTTTGATCCTCGACAAGGCACTAATTTCCTTTGGTAAAGGCATTAATCTACATTTGCCACTCCATACCCAGGAGAGAAATGGTGACCTGATAGGATAAAGAAAGCCTTTGTGTTACTAAGTAATTGCCATATGCCCTTGCCATGCCCATATGGTAGGAATACTCCTCAGGGAGTAGACATGATGCACATTGTGAGTGACTGAATCCGATGACCGAGGTAATAATATCTGTGAAGCGCTTAGAGACGGTAATTGGTATTAAACGCTATAGAAATCCAGATTATTACTGATTAATATTACAAAATCAGAGAAAGGATTTCATTCAATGAAATGCATCCAAGTTACCTCAAACAATTTCCTCCATGTTTTGTCCATTGGTCCTACTTTAGGATCAGGTACAACAACATCTTTGGTTAGAGAACATCTGCGCATTGTGGAGACAAAAACATTTATTCATTTACTTATTTTGTAGTTTCATTTTATTACAGGGTTGCATTGTCTGTTACAAAACTGCTTTCCCCACTTTAAAACATTACATACAAATAAAAATAACAATGAAACATGAAAAAAAAAAACTTAACGATAAACACTGAAACAAAAATCGCAAAGGTACTGGTATTAAAGCAAAATGAAGTTTCTGAAAACAACAAAAGTACAAACAAAAGAAGATTGGAGCTGGGACATGGGTTACTCGTGGGGTGGGGCATTTTGTAGTTGTTCCTAAATTTGAAATAAAATAACTGAATCCCATTGTCTAGAAAAAATTCTAATAATTCACACGTTTAACTTACAGCACAATCAGGTCCAGAAACTCGTAGAACTGGATACGACCAGGTTCATCCAACCTCTCCTCCATGTGTTTGACTCGATGCATCAGCTTCAGAGGTGCTATAGTGCGTCCACATAGCTGCGTGGGGATGAGGTTGCCGTCAAACAATGCATAAAGCAATTAAAATGTCAAGAAGAGAATACTACTTATGCTAGTGAAAAGGAAATCGTATCGAAATTTAATCAATATGGGGGGTGTTTCACCAAGATTTTAAGTCAAACTTAAAAATTATAGAGAGCCATATTCAAAAGCAAAAATACAAGTATTTTAGACTTTTTATAAACTCCAAATCAAGAACATGAAACCTCCTTGATAATAGAAAATATGAATGATTTGGATCAACATTTTATGATGACTTCTAAAAGAACTTTTACAAAATATTTTCATAGATGCTAATGGCTTTCCATAACTGTTAAATCCAACTTAGAGATAAGTTAAATTTAGGATCTTTGTGAAACACCCCCATGGTCTCATCTTTGGTCTACTCATGTAAAGATATGTATAATTATATGCAAGATGTTTTGATGTTCTCTCATTAATCTCAAATTGGCAACATATTTTCATTCATTTTTTACATTTCATTTCACTGGCAGCATAAGAATACCAACCAAAGCATTTTGAAACGACAAGATACATACAAGAAAATAACATAACATACTATACATACATGCATGCTGGAGTAGGTAGCCAAAAGAAGAAAAAAGGTCCTAATATGAGGCTGATCCAAAAGTTTAAAATATTAATACAATTATACATGATGTATGAATATACCCTGGCTTTCCCCCTACACTTAAACGAATAGTGCAGTGGGTTCTTATGAGCAAAGGTGGCGACTCTTCTCTACATGGGGCCCCAATTTAACATCCTATCTGAGGGGCATGGTGCTATCTCAACTCTCTTACCTTAAGTGTTCTCATGAGCGTGTGTTTATCTATGATCATTCCTTTCATATCTCCTGCCTCGTAGACTTGGAAGGCAACCCGCACATCACTTAGCTCATCAAAACTGTCAACAAAAAAATAGGAATACATTACAAAAATTAGAAACTATATGAAGTAGTGTAACTGGTAAAGAAAAAAAAATGAAAATCAATGAACACATTCATCAAATAGTTTAAGTCATAAAGAAGTTAAGTATTGAAAATGTTGAAAATTATAAGGAAGTTAGATGATAGAAAACAACAACAACAGCAACAATGACAAACCATGCTTTATCTTATCCAAATTCAGAAAGAAAGTTAAAGTCAAATCATCATGCTTTAAGTACTTGAGTAGAATTAAGGGAGCAAAAGTATGCACAGGAAAGATAATTTCAGAGAAGGCACAATCTACAGTTTTGCCAATTCGAAGTGACATACGGTACTTCAGTTTATACAGCATCCAGATTTGTTGACAGGGTCATCATTACTTCAGCAACACAACCTTGAAGTGTTGAAAATTTAACAAAACTTTGTTTCTGTGCCCTTCAGCTTAAATGTTGAGATTTAAAAGCCTTAATCGCATCAAACACTTTTAACTGATGTGGTTCATGCTTTTCTAAAGCGATCTAAAGTCGGTAGTATACATATTGATAGATTACTACATTGTACATCTACAGCAACATTCCAAACAATTCTTTTTTGGAAAATCTGAAACCAGAATTAGTTCTCTGATCTGCCTGACACTCCATGAAATTATACACCTTGAGCAACAGGCCCCTGTTTCATAAAACATGTTATCAATTTAACAAGTTACTATTACATTTTTTAAGCTACTGAAATTGTTGCGTTTGATGGCTGAGAGCAAATTTGTCCTAGAAATATTACTCACGTCAGGAACCTATGGTTGAGCAAGTTCATGCTTTTTCTCAGGACGTTGATGTTGTAATCAGCCGTGTGCATGTTGACAGAGAGATGGAGCGATTCATTGAAGTACTTGAGATCTATGAGCTTCAAAATCTCCTGCAAATAATAATAGTAATAATAATGAAACGGTGCCTATAAAGCGCTTACATCAAAGTCTCTAAGCACTAAGATGGGTAGGCAAAAGAATATCAGTTATTAAAATTTAAGTGATTATTCGACACCATTCAGGTGTTCACCCCATAACCAGGATTTGCCTTCAGTTTTATGACCAACAAGCTTTATATTCCAGCCATCCCATATGGTAAAGTCACAATCTTACATTTCCCTTACCTGAAGACTCTCCGAGAGATTTTTATGAGTTTGCTGTTTGTGAGACTTGTACACCTATTAATGGTATTTTCATCAAGTCCGGTGTCAGCGAATTATAACCTTCTGCACGTCATGGAAACTGACGACCATCTTCCTTTAATACGCATACTGAATTGATTACGCCCCAAGGTTCATACGTTTACTCACCCGATAGCTTACGCCATCCTTTCTGATTATGTGATCGTCGGGAATACATTTCCGAAGAGTTCCGTTGGGATACTGCATGAAGCAAAAAGGAGAGAAAGAATTTTCATAATTAATAAATCAATAATGTGCGCCATCACAATGGCTACTAAGTCATTTTAAATGCTCTTTATATTTCAACCAATTTTTTTCTTCTTCATAGTCACTTATATCTAAAAAGTGCATGGAGAGTTAGAGACATCCCTGTATTATCTGTTCAGAAAGCATTACTATTATTAATTTGTAATTACTATTGTTACTATTGTTACTATTATTACTATTACTAGTATAGTAGTATTATTACAACAACTAATATCATGATCATTATTATTTCTATTGTTATCATTATCATTATTATCATTCTCAATTTATTATTATCATCATCATCATCATAACAAGCGAAAAAAAGGGGGGGGGAATAATTTATGATTTCTGTCTTTTAAATGCTGTTATTTAGAAGCTGTCGATGATCTTTGGAAAAATGGCATCTATCCATCTTAAGGATATTAAATCTTTTTTCATCATTTCACTAGATATAATAGTATTAATATAATATTGACTCTGTACTTTGACATGTTCACACAGGAAACAAAACAAGATCTAATTTTTACACAACCTAGATTGGATCCACATTTGAAAAGGTCAAAGGTCAATTTTACAATTAACTTACCCCCAGAGCACTGGTAAGGCAACTGCAGAAGAGATAAAAACAGGACATAATAATTATTAGTAGAGAAACAAATTAGAATATAGAATAGAACAATGTTGTTAACACATACACACTGATTCATTTTCAAAATACATGAGGAACTCATTGAGGACAGCATTTAACAAAACCGTCATAAGTACAAGTTCGTGGACAAAACATTGCATTGAAACGTACTTTACTGCTACTGAAGAAGAAACGTGTGTATTGAATATAAACAAGTGTTTCAAAAGGACGTTGGTGAACTTTTACTTATGAAAGGATTCCATGTCTACAGGAGTAACGGACTAACAAAAAAAAATGTCCCTCAAGTTTCTGCACTGCACCTAAGCCTCAACTTATCAATTTCATTTCCCTAAATTCCTATAAGGCTTTATCAAAACAAAGGGCTGAAAACCCTTTGAGAAAGAAAATAAAAAGAACGAGCTTAAACGGCAGTCAAGAAAAAAATAATAATTTGGCAACATCATTTAATGATTTATGGGCAAATGGCCAAGTCACTAACGTACACCTGACCATGCCTTTTGACATTGACAATGACTGTTTTGTAGTTGTATTTAATTGTAATACAACTACAAAACTGTCATTGTCAATGTCAAAAGGCATGGTCAGTTGTACATAAGTGACTTGGATTTTTACTTCAAAATCAAATGAAATGTTATGACACTGTTTTTTACCTTTTTTCTTGTGACTTAGTAGATAATATACTAGATCTAGGTCTAGTAGACCTACTACTCCCCTGAAAACAAGATTGAGGACACCAAAAGAACTGTAAAATAAGGGGGGACCAAACAATCGACGCGCATTGGATTTGGATTGGAGATCAATACCATGCACCATGCACCAACAGACAACAGTCAATTCTAAGTCAACATTACACAGATCTGGATGCATCGGACTGTAATGTAACGCACTATGATAATTGCTACATGAGGAATCCTTCATAGATCTATAGCACAACCAAATCACCATTTCATATATCAACTTACCTCAACTCTTCCCAAGTGAAAAACTTTTTCGAGTGTGGATATTTTAAGTGCATTTTAAGACGTTGTAGATCTAAACGACAATGAATAAATATTCTATTCTAATTGATCCATGTAGGTCGCCATATTGTTTATAATCGGTACCTTGGTTTCGCAACTACTTTATTGAAGATTTCTCCCTCCGGAAAATATATTGTAGCCCGAACAAGTCATTAATAGCTCATAGCTGGTATTTTGCATCATTTTATTTTCAAATTTAAGAACAAATAATGTTTTCATGTATTTATTGACATATCTTAACTACTTTCTAGACATAATCTTTAATAAAAAGTGTGTAAAAATTCCGAAAGTTTGGAGGGGTAAAAACCAATCATTAGAATATCCACCAGACGAAATCAATAAGAGGATGTTCGTTGAAATCGATAAGTTCGTCTGATGACGTCATTAAACATCGGGCCACGCCTCTAAATTGAATATGCATGAGATATTTGCCTAAAGTCAACATTATTCTCGACTTGTACGGCAAAAAGGAGGGGCTTAGCCAAATAAGGCATGGCCTACGTGTGCTCCGTGCGCCTGCACATGGCCAAGGGTGTAAGCAGTATGCATATGGAGGATAAATGTCAAGATTATTATCCTATAGCGTCAAGTACAATGCGAAGTCCAGCGATTGTATGCTCCTCTATCAATACATATTTTAGCACATGGTGTCATTAAGTTGCTCATTCGTTCCCACAGTCGCACGCGATCCTTAGAAGTTAGATGTCGACGCACCATCACACGCAGCAGGCATCCATATTGCAAACTATTTAAATTATTGACTAATTCGAAGTGAATGCACCTGTAGCTTTTTGTCTGCAATGGAGCCCGCCAAATTCTTGAAGACCGACCTGTGAGCTGAATGCAACCATCTATGTAGCAAGAGGACCTGTTGGACTTGGAGAATCGGGTTCAAGACTCGACTGAGATGACCGAAATCTCAAAATTACAGGAAAGTAACCTTGGCTTGAATTATAATTTCACGGTGCCCTTTATATTTGTATAAGCACTTGTCATCCATGAGGAAAGAGGAAGGCCCCAGACAATTTGGAAATAAAATTATGAAGTTGCATAAAATGCATTTCTTCGAAGTGTGATGAGTAGGCCTATACCGTGTGAGTCAAAAAAAAGTTTACACCTAGAAAATTGCTAAGTATTTTAAAAATCCTCTATAAACAATAAATTATTATTCATCTTATGAAAGAGTGTTTTATCCCAAATCAGTTGGTATCATTTTTGTGTGGTATGTGTTCACGCTTGGATGAACAGGAGGCATTGTTTGCGAGAGTGCAAAAATCGACTTGCGCCAAAGTGATGCCTACAGCATGTATTATGTTGGGATTAGCGGAGTGAGAGAATGAATTGAATGTATCAGATGAAATGCATTGCAAATGCTTTTTGAAGAAGAAAAGTCACACACACACACAAATGTTCGTTGATATTTGATATTCGATATATGATATGTGTGGCATGTTTAATTTTTGTCAGGGATGTTATTTGGATCTGCAAAAACCGATTTAATACCCAAATTCCAATTGTTTTATTTAAACATCAGATAAGCAACTTTGGCGCAAGTCGATTTTTGCATTCTCACAAACAATGCCTCCTGTTCATTCAAGCGTGAACACATTCCACACAAAAATGATACCAAATGATTTGGGATGAAACACTCTTTCATGAGATGTGTAATAGATTACTGTTCATAGATGATTTTTAAAATAATTAGCAATTTTCTAGGTGTAAATTTTTTTTGGACTCGCACTGTATATGTTTTTTAAAGGGGTCATAATATATACAAAGCAGTGTTTTTTATCAGGATTATTTAGCGCTGGGTCCGAAAACAGAGACTTCCATAATTCTTAATTTGTCCTTAGAAAGTAACTTAGATGGAGAAAAGTCGGGGACAGCGCTTTTATCATAATAATAGGCCTATTATTACTTTTGTCATTATTATCATCATTATTTTACCATTACCATTATTACTACATGTATATATTATAATCATTTAGTCTTATCAAGCATAAAATAATAGAGGAAGAGATTACTGTATTCATGTTAATTCCTGTCATTGGTCGGCCTATTCCTCGACTCGACTCGACTATAAATCATTCATATGAAAATGAGTGGGGTTGGATGGTTTACGCAGCATGCTTTGCGTTCAATATGCCTGCATAATTATTATTAGACCATAGGCATATGCCATCTGACCATGTGCTGTGTCATGGGTCATACATGATTCATTATATCCCGGCATAATCCCCTCCCATATTAATTCATTTCATTCTAATCCCTTTATATTTCATTAAAACCCAATTCCTCATTTTTTAAATTACACATTGTCTTATATGAGTGCATTTGGAGAACCGATTTTCTTGGATCTTGTTGCCTCTTTTCGTATTTTCGTAATCAAGAAACTTTAATAGTTGTGGTGGGGAGGGGGGGGGGGGGGGGACTACGCGAATGGTACATGTTTAGCTGCAGGAAATTATTGGGCCAATCAATGTATGCACTTTACTGTTTAGTGACAGGTTGTTCTATTCAAAATTTAGTGAGCAATAAACAGCTAGAAAGGCACCCTGTGTGCGCCTCTCTGCATGCATTCTAAGCCTTATATTTTAAAATGGTTTCTTCATTTTGATACCGAATTTTAGCTTATGCAAGACTTCATTTCTCGTGGTATTGATCACTGATCATCAGAATTATCACAGACAGTACGAAGAAGAAGATGAAGAAGAAGAATATCCAAACAATAAAATATTTGTGGTAAAGAGAATCACTACTTTTTAAGAAAATGTCCGACAGAGCCTATCATTACATTTTTAGCAAGCTAATGCGGTATTGAAGTGGTTTTAAAATCAGTGAACACAAAAGTTAAAGTTAAGTACAAAAAGTGTAATTAGAATAGGTGGAATTAATTAGTATGGTTCAAGAGTCACTGAAACCATGGTGTGTAAGATTATATACCCTAGATATTTTTGGTGACGTGACTTTTGATACGACTTCAGATAGGTTGTCTCCCCCTCCTTCCCTAACTCCCTCCCCCTCCCCCTCCTCACCCCCCCCCCTCTCTCTCTCTCCCCTCCTTCTTGTTTGTGGGTTGCATGTTTTAGCTGTCTTTGTTGTTTTGTAAATATTATTAACGGAGCCGTAATGTCAATGACTCCTTCAAAGTGCCTATTCATTATATCTTCCCCTTTGCAAACGGTACCCGATATCATGACTCATATCATTTTGTTAATATTGACTGACATGTATATTCAATAATGATCGGATTTATTTAGCGCTCAATATAAATTACCGTCTCTAAGCGCTTTACAAATATTTTTGCCCTGGTCATCGTATTCATTGAAGCACAGAGTGCACCATCTCCACTTCCTGGGGAGTATTCATACCCTATCACCGTGAGGGCATGGCAATTACTAACACAAAGGCATTCATCATCTTTGCTAGGGCCCCATTTCTTTCTTGGGTATGGAGTGGCAAATGTAAGTTCATGCCTTGCCAAAGGACATTGGTCCTTTTTACCCTAGCATTGGCCTTAAATCCCCACTGCACTTTGGCCAGGAGGGATTAGACCTCCCTGCATGGTCACTGACAGGTGGTTATCTCATCAAATCAGCTCACAATAACATAAGAAAAATAGGGACCAATGGTCACCGATTAGGCATTGTTTGCTATATAGAGGGCGCAAGTAGCTATAAGTAGTGCAGTTGGGCTTTAAGTGACAATACATGTACATTCAACATGCAGGCAGATCGAGGTATACTAAGAAACTTGTAACACGATGAAGACTGTATGAAGATGGAGCATATTTGAGCCTAACTGGGAAGTTCCCAACTTCCCTATTTCAGCTTATGGATCTAGTCTACAGAATCAGACTCTAATTTGACACTGCACTACAATTCCTAAAGTATGGAGCAGAGCCTAGCTCCGTTGACCAGTTTCCGCCTGTGTCCGAGTCCAAAACAGCTATACTACAGAGCTTATGTAGTATACAGTCAGTCTAGTATCACTGTACAGACACTATTAAACACAGCGAACGACCAGGGTTTGTGCCTGCAAACTATTATGGATCAGGGCATTATGCGAGTGTTAGGAACGACGCCAGGGGCGGGTGGGGGGGGGGGGACGCCTCTCTATTGCCCGTTTACACATCAAAATTGTTATCATTTCTGTTAACCAAGTCAATGATGAGAAATCCATAAATAATCACGAAGAGACATCCATTTCCTCGTGAATGTAAGATTATCATCATTTTATCGAGACTTCAAAATAAAGGTTCAGGGGTCGGGTAAACAAAAAATAAGAAAATAGTACAGTGTTCTAACGGTTCAGACAAGGCTTTATCAATATTTTCCAAAAACGACAAATAAAGAATGTCAGTTATCCTATATATAAAAATGAAAACGAAGAGATTTGTTTTTATTTCACCTTTACAAACAAGTAAGACTGGCATTATAACAATCATATTTTATCTTTAATACTTGGTTTTCTATGAAATAATTACACATTCACTTATATTATAGACTAGATTCAATTGAGTAAACTTACTCACACGTTCGCAGTCACTAGCTATCATAATCGTGCTAATTGGTCCTCAAACTAATATAATATATTACTACTTTTTATATGGCATTCGCGGCTATCCTGAAAACTGAAAACACCCCGTCTATTCGGGGAGGACGCCCCCCCCCCCTATCATCTGGCTACACCACGTGCTCGCTAATGGTTTACCGGCCTGTGTGACGCGGAGCGAAGCCTCTTCAATCAACGCGATCTTCTGATACCATATAGAGCGGGAAACATCGTGTATCATTTTTCATTTCGCGATGGGTATAGGTATACCAAAGCCCATGTCAATTTCACTGCAATCTCAACATAATGATATTAGTATGTAACTTGCACACTTAAATGTATGTAGAATATATTATGAGGCAAATTTTGCGAGGAAAGGAGACGCGTATTTTGCGTATTCAATTCTGCAATTTTAAATTTTGTCGTCATTAAATATCAAGGAATATATGCTTTAAATAAAATAAAAATGAACAGCCTAGCTGCTTGAATGTGAAGTGGCGGTTGCTCGAATATTGGG